GGGGGGGGAGGGTTGGCTTCAGCCAGGTAACGTGCAAAGGCCAGTTCCACCTAGATAAATGGCCATAGGGACCCTGGAGGCCTCCACTAAGACGATTGGAGAGAGCAGTGAAGGAGAGGGAACCCTGCACGGAACAAACTACATCTATACTGAGCATTGGGGAAGGGAGTTTGGCCACAGTCAGGGGCCTCACTTTTGATTTATGTCTTGCTCCTGAAGGTGGTGCAATAACCCAATGGTCATAGATTCAAGATCTCCGCTGTGTCCTTCAATGAACGGCAGGAGTGAGAGAAAGGAAGGCAAGAACATGTTGCTTCTCTGCAGCCCTGTTCATCCACCAAGAGCAGTCCAGTACTTGCAGGTCTGGGGAGCCCGCGACTCACTTGACCATGCTGATGCTTGGTGACTGGAATTACAAGGGGGCAGAGACATCAACCGCAGCCCAATGTAAACTCCAAGCCCCAACTTAGAACTTTCTTCTCTTCATTCCCAGCAGGTGGGGCCTCTAATAAAAAAAACAAGCCTGTTGCTTTGTGCTGCATGGGCAAATGACAGGTCCACTTTAAAAGAAACCTGAAGAAGAATGAAGGGTGCCATTGCTGATCTATCTTAATAACAATAGTTCCCCGATTGTCCTGCTGATCCAATGGCTTCGGCACGTTCTAATTCCCTGATCTGGAGCTTGCATGTAAATGGTGGTCTGCATGCTTGTCCTGGGTCAGTGACGGCCAGTTACAGAGCAGGTCAACATTGGCCTCCATGTTTCTCCTTTCAGAGTCTATTCATGTCAGTGGCACCCAGTCTCGCCTGCAGGCACAATAAATATAGAACAGCAGCTGATTGTTGGAGCTCCTCAGTGCAGAAAACGGTTTTCTTGTGCCGTATAGATGGCAGGTTCAAGAATGTTTTTGAGTAATCCGGACAAAATAAAAACAAAAAAAATCACACACAGCCTGCCCCCACCCTGTCCCGGGCAGCCCCTGGTTCCCGTATTACCTTTACTGCCTCTCTCCTGCCACCAAGATCACCAGAAACACCTAGTGCTGCCATTGAATGCCACATCTCCTCCTTCAATGTAACGGCACTGGGACCTTGTAATGAGCAGGCGATGCGTCACAGGCATTCCCATACCCAGAAGCACCAGGATTCTTACGGTGGTCTTCCAGGTGGCAGCAAAGGTAAGTATAGGCAACAGTGACCGCCTCGGACAGGACTGGGGTTAAAATTGAATTAAAGGCAAAATCAAAAATGACATATAGATATATTGCCGTCTTTCACATATATTAAAAGGAGAACTATGAGATGAGTGCTTTTCACTCCCCTCATAGTTCTAGCCGACCTGTGACAATGAGACTGTCACAGGTCGGCTCAGTAGATGGAGGTGAGCGAACACATACCGGCGTTCGCTCACCTCTCCATCCTGTCACGGCTGGATTCCCCTCCCCGCTCCGATCCTCCAGCACTGGACTGACGGAACGGACGGGGGAGGGGGCAGGTACAGCTGGCTCTGCCTCTAGATAGGGAGAGCCAGCTGTCAGTCACGCAGCTGGGCGAATCCCGGCACAATTGTCGGGATCCGTTTCAGCTGCAGCTCTCTCTATACTGAGCTTAGGGTGATGGGAGGACGCCAGTCACCCTAAGGAGAACTATGGGGAAAAGCCCTAACCCCATAGTTCTCCTTTAACACAGCAGTTTTTGTTTTTTTAAGCTTCCTCTGCAATATAGTTCTATTATCTGTTGCTCCTTCCGGATCTGTTATTTTCCACTTCCTGTAACAACGCTGTTAGTACTGCATTGAAATCTCAGAGCAGTGTTGCCACCCCGTGGACAAGTTAGTCTTAGATGCACATATAGTTTTAAATGAACTTTGAGTGGTACCAAATTAAAAGGCCAAATACAGCTAAAAGGTGCCCGTACACCTTGGGATCATCGAACCGTCGTATGATTTTCGTATGGCGGCCGCATCCTGCCCCGATGGTCGCAAGGCTCAATCAGCGGTAGTTTAAAAAAAACCAAACCTGGCCGAATTGCGGTAATCGACCGCACGTATTTTCGTCTGTGCATGAGCAGTGTTAATCCAAACACCACCAACCTCGCTAAAAATCGTACGATCGGCCGAAGTTGTACGATTGCAGTTTTTGGGGTTATACACTGCCCATCAACATCGGCCGATACTCGTAAGGTGTATGGGCAGCTTTACACTTTAAAATCACCACATGGTCCCCCTTATGAAAGAAGCTTGGGCTGTAAGGCTGATCAGGACACACACACAGATCCCCTCCTGATTGGAGCAGTATGGATCGGATGCCACCACTGGGACATCCGTGTCCATACGTCCTCCTTACCATCCTAATCTAGTTTTATCTTCCATCTTGCGATGGAGGAAAAAACAAACCACCAGACCCCATGTCAGTCTATGGGGAAATGTATGTAAATGGACATGTGTCCATTTACATCAGATTTCCCCCAATCCGGCACGATCAGATCCAGCGAAATGTAATACTGTTCCATTTGTTTTACCAGACCTAGCCGGAGTCGGGGGTAACTGGATCCATAGACTAGCATTGGGCATCCGATCGGGCCAGCATGAAAAACTGACGGGCAGATCTGATCGGACCGTTCATCCTGTAAAAGGGGCGTAAGGGCTCAATGCTTTGTTGCTAGGGTGCAGACGTCTCCAGCTGCCTGGAATCCTTCGTTGCTAGGGTGCAGACGTCACCAGGTACCTAGAATCCTTCGTTGCTAGGATGCAGACATCTCCAGGTACCTAGAATCCTTCGTTGCTAGGGTCCAGACGTCTCCAGCTGCCTGGAATCCTTCGTTGCTAGGGTGCAGAAGTCACCAGGTACCTAGAATCCTTAGTTGCTAGGGTGCAGACCTCTCCAGCTGCCTGGAATCCTTCGTTGCTAGGGTGCAGACCTCTCCAGGTACCTAGAATCCTTTGTTGCTAGGGTGCAGACATCTCCAGCTGCCTGGAGTCCATTGTTGCTAGGATGCTGGCTGCTCGGAAAAAAACTGTTGCGTTAATGTTCGTAACAGATTGCATCATATATGTCATTTTTGGCTTTGCACATCGCTCTATTTTAAAGGGAGAACTCTGGGCAACCCTTGCAGTTGGGCTACCCCCGCACTGCAAGTGTTAACTGACATGGTCTAGGTGCTAAAATAAAGTTATACTCACCGGAACCTCGGAGCCAGCGACTGTCACAGTGCTCCCTCCAGCCATGGTAGGTCCCTTGGCATCCTCATGTCCTATACACAGTGTATAGAACGTGATGACTCAGGGACCTTAGACCGCTGCAGTGGTGGGGGAGCGAGGCTGGAAGAGACCAGTCTAAGACCAAGCCGCCTCCGAGGATCGGCCGAGTATAACTTTCCTTCCCTAGACACAAACGAGCATTTAACCCTTGCAGTGTGGCGGAAGCAAATAAGGTTTGCTCGGAGATCTGCTTTAATTTAGTCATTGGCATTATAACGTCACCTAAAATGCTGACCCGACAGGCAATTTCAGACATCACCCGCGGGTGTCAGGCGCCTCTCGGGAGCACGATATGTCTTCATAACAACTCATTCAAAAACAAAAATTTATATTGGAATATTCTGTACAAGTTATGATTGTCAAACGTTTCTTTTGTGTACCCACTTCACACGATCGCCAAAATGGATCTTAGAAATGTCAACATTTAGATAAAAAGGTTCGCGGACGTTGCGCAGACCGGAAGGAACGCCTCACGTGAGCTCCGTCCACTTACAGAACCACCCGCAATAGTCATGTACACAGTGCAGGAGGGGATTGGCGTTGGTCTGTCCGGGGGGCTGGGGGGGGGCGGATGCCGGTCTTCCAGGTTAAAACCTCAGTGCACTTTTTTTTATCTTCCCTGGAAAGGAGTTTTGTCCTTCATTCTGTCTTCACTTCCTTTGCAGCTTCCTCTTTCACGCTCTGCTCGGGTGTAGTCTGGGCGTCGGGGTTGTATCTGTGTTTGTACCCGTAGGGACGGAGATGATGCACCAGATATTCCAGCTGGTACATGGTCGTAGCATCTACGTAGTGGAAGGACACGGCCAGGTCGGAGCAGCAGCCGGGACCCTGGAAGAGGAAACGCATTGTAATAAGCACAAAAACCTCAGAAAATAGAATATTACTAATGTCACTTAAAAAAAACAACAAAAAAATAAATACTTATTCTACTGTTTTAGCTTCAGAAAGATTCACTTTTGTTTTTTTCAAATCTGGAGAGTAAGTTGGCTGGCTGAATTAAGTTCTGGCTAACGTCAGTCTGTCAGAGCAGCATACATTTATTCAGGACAGTGCAGGGGTTCACGAGTAATGCAAAGGGCAGGTGTACGTAGTATGCAACGCAGGGAGTATGCAACGCAGGGTGCAGGGGTCAGGAGTATGTTACACAGGGTGCAGGGGTCAGCAGTATGTAACGCAGGGTGCAGGGGTCAGCAGTATGTAACGCAGGGTGCAGTGGTCAGGTGTATGTAAAGCAGGGTGCAGGGAGTATGTAACGCAGAGTGCAGTGGTCAGGTGTATAACGCAGAGTGCGCGGGTCAGGAGTATGAAACGCAGAGTGCAGGGGGTCAGTAGTACATACAACACACATCTCCCTTCACTTCACCCGTGAAGTTAGGGTGACACCCAATAAGGTGCACACCACAACCTCTTATCTTGACTCACAGCACCTACACCCAGTTTTCTTCTCCAAGCCCTCATTGACCCCCATTATCACTAACACCTTTTAGCCAATTGCGATGATGCTTCCAGGGCTCCGCCAATCAGAGCAAGGCATTGGTACATGCTGAGAGTTGTAATCTAAGCAATGAGAATGGCAGGGTTGTAAACTACCCATCGTACGACCCCATAAAATGTAAAAAAAACTTAAAATGTGTAAAGAAAAAACAGTTGCAACTGCTGACTCCATATGACACTGACTGGCTCCTGAATTCTTCCTGGATTCCTTCGCCTCATTCACATGAATGAACCCCCCCCTAATGCTAATGTGTGCCAAATTTTGACAAATGTTCATAAAACCATAAAATTAACCAAACCTTATTTCTGTGTTCTCAGAATTCTGGGACTATTTCGAAAAACCGGCCATTTTTTATTTTGCTGCATTTGTGCCGCAAATACGTATCCAATAATAAAAGTTTGACGAGGAAAGCTGCAACGTTGAAGGTAAAAAGGACACGGGCTGGTAAAGAAAGTAAATAAAATAAAAGATGATGCCACCCTTGAAGAATGTAAATTACGAGGTTCTGAAAGAGCCAAAACCCCTCCTGGCGCTACGCCCGGCCGCGTCATATCCAATTCCTGGATCAGGTGTGGCGGTGGAGGTTTTGGTGGTTGACAGCGAAAGCGTACCTTGCAGTAATATGCAAAGCACGCTTATAAAGCAGGGCCCCTCCCCCAGTATACAGCCCTATATACAAGAAGGTAAAAACTTGATACATGGGGGTAGTGTAAAGGTGGCCAATCGCATGACTTTCGTTGTGCGATGGTTGTAAGGTGATTAAAAGTTTGTACGACCCGCCCATCATGGACAGGCAGATCATACTTGCGATCAGCGCAAGTCCTCCCCGCTGAGGGGGAGGGCTTACAGATGATTGCATTGGTGAGCAGGCAGTGAGCGCTTGCGCACCTCGGCCCGTGCGGCTTTCGTCTTGCGATCGAGCTACCATACGATTTTCGGCGGGTTTTCTAGCGTGCTCGTAATAGGAAAATCGTGCGACCGTGCAGTAAATGGGGTCGCACGCTACCCATGCACCTTACGAATATCGGCCGATTTTCGCATGTGATCGCGTTTTCGGCCCATATTCGTACGGTTGATGGGCACTGTACGAGCGCAAATACTGTACAATCGATCGACTTTTGGCTAACCAGCAGGTTAGAAAACTTTGGTCAATCGTACGATTTTCGCAAGGTTGGTGGCGTTTCCTTACGTCAAAATTCGTACAATTTACACTGCTCATGCGCAGACGAAAATACGTGCGGTCGATTATCGCAATTCGTCCAGGTGCTTTCTTCTAATTACGGCTGATTCGACCTTGCGATAATCGGCGCAGGATGGGGCCGCCGTGCGAAAATCGTACGACTGTTCGATCATCGGACGAAAAGTGTCGTCGGATGATCGCAGGGTGTATGGGCAGCTTTAGTATGTACAAGGTAAGAGTGCACGGGCACGAGCAGGGGGGAACGGGCACGAGCGGGGTGCTACAAGCGGAGCTAGTGTACTAAGCCTCACCCGCACCCAGTACAGATCGGTGTGAAGAAGTATTTCCAGTCCCATTATGGTTCTGCTTTGGCAGACTGGTTGCAATGTACAATGGGTTGGAGAACGAGGTGTGTCGGGGATTCTGTCAGCTGCATCTGTACTCCTTTCTAGGTGCTAAGTGACGAGAACAAAAAACTGGACAGACAGGTTTGCTGCAGGTGCCACATCGGATCGACACTTAAACATAACTATTCGTTACATTTGCGCATAATGAAGATTATTTATAGCTAAACTCTGGACGCAAAGACTGCCATTGAAATATATTTCTCAGTAGTCACGCGGGATAAAAAAATCCACTCGGTGTGCACCAAATGCCTTTATGCATTACCCCGTAAAAGTAGTCCTGACATCATCACTGGGCTATATAGAGCCTGTGCAGAGAGCAGAGCTGTGGGAGGGACCCAGTAGGCTCCACCCCCACTACAGGCTGCCTGCAGATAACTACAGGAAGGGGTGGAGACGAGACCAGCCACCCTGCACAAGGAGAAAGAGCAATAGTGACCGGTCTTTATTACAGGAGGGGGCGGAGACAAGACCAGTCACCCTGCACAAGGACATAGAGCAGCAGTGAGCGATCTTTATTACAGGAGGGGGCGGAGACAAGACCAGTCACCCTGCACAAGGAGAGAGACCAGCAGTGAGCGGTCTTTATTACAGGAGGGGGCGGAGACAAGACCAGTCACCCTGCACAAGGAGAGAGAGCAGCAGTGAGCGATCTTTATTACAGGAGGGGGCGGAGACAAGACCAGTCACCCTGCACAAGGACATAGAGCAGCAGTGACCGGTCTTTATTACAGGAGGGGGCGGAGACAAGACCAGTCACCCTGCACACGGAGAGAGAGCAGCAGTGAGCGGTCTTTTTTTACAGCAAGCTCCAAGTTTTGCACAGATCTGGAAGGAATGCACAAAGCTCACCAAGATTCAGGAAGAATACAGTAATTGGGATTTAATGAGGCGGAGGCGGGAGGGTTGAAGCCTAATCCTTTAATGTGTAGCTGCCCTACTTACAAACCTTCTTAATTACATAGATACAGCTAGACATAAAACCTGAGCTAGCGGGCCCGGGGGATTACTACCCCAATATTGTTAACAATAAAAGTAAGGTGGTGAGGCTTTAGGGGGTGAACTCAAAAAGACATACAGAAGGTAAAAGTCACATTTTTATTTTATAGTCTGTTAAAAATGGATTCCCATGAAGAGTTTGTAGACAACATGCAGATAGACGCGGCCTGTACTTTCGTTGCACTGGTTTTATCTGCATGTTGTCTCTGCAATGTCGCTCAATATCGCGCAATGTTGCTCAAAGCCGCTCAGCGCGGAAAGACGCACAATATCCATGTCGCTGAGTGTGAATCGGGTGTTAAAGGAGAACTATGAGGCGAGTGATTTTCACTCACCTCATAGTTCTAGCCGACCTGTGACAATGAGACTGTCACAGGTCGGCTCAGTAGATCGGGAGGTGAGCGAACACATACCGGCGTTCACTCACCTCTCGATCCTGTCACGGCTCTCTGCTGTGACCGGGGAGGGGCAGGATTCCCCTCTCCCCACTCCGATCTGCCAGCGATGACTGGCGGAACAGACGGGGGAGGGGGCGGGTACAGCTGGCTCTGCCTCTAGATAGGCAGGGCCAGCTGTCACTCACGCAGCTGGGCGGATCCCGGCATCTACGTCGGGATCCGCTTCAGCTGCAGCGTCTCAGTATACCGCGAGCTGTAGCTTGCGGTATACTGAGCTTAGGGTGACGGGGGGACGCTAGTTTGTGTCCTCCCGTTACCCTAAGGAGAACTATGGGGAAAAACACTGACCCCATAGTTCTCCTTTAAGGTAC